CTGTTCCAGCTGAATTTCTAGTTTGCATGACTGTTGCGTAGGTAGGTAGTGCACCATTTGGTTGCTTGTCATAAATGACTAATAAGCGACCATAGGTTTGCAATGCAGTGGCTAAGTTTATGATTTGTCCTTTCATTCTAAGTGCTTTCATAGATATTTTGTTTCCTATACGTTGATTGTTGCCTGCACCTTGAACGACACCATTAAGTAGAACCCATGGCGTCCCTCCGACTAAATTAAAATTGTCGTCGGAAGCTGCAATGTCACAGTATTTGATTTCCATTCTAGGTCCTCTTCTATATATTTGAGGTACTGGGGCAAATTGAGTTGGTCTTTTTCTCTTTTGTTGTTGTTTTTTAGCTGGTGGTTTACCTATAGTGAACATAGTTTACTTTTTTTTTTATTTTTATATTATTTAATATTGTAGTTCAATATGCAATAATATATTTTTATTATTTTTTTTTACCTAAGTTGTTCCGTGGGAACTAGGAACCGGCTTGCGTAAAGTAATATTATGTTTACGCTGAGCCGGTCCAGTTCCAATTTATTTTTTTTTCTAAGTTAATGCGTAACGGTTTATTATAAATCAATTAAGTTTATTTTCTGTGGTGAAAGTAGTACCCCAAAGGGGGCCCGTATGTGAAAGTATAATAGTAATGTGTGTATATTTATACTATAATAATTTAATTATCATAGTATGTTAGTCTTTCGACATTTCTAAAGGTCCAGGTTGCTGCTCCTGCGTGAATCATCACTGCAAAGAGCAATGCACCTGTACTGATATCTGCTATTCCTGCGGTTGCACCTGTATAAGCAGTATGTAATCCTTTAAGTTTAATATAAATATCAATGTTAAAAGCATTAATATCATTTTTTGATTGTTGGTCAAATCCTATATTAGTTAACACACCTGCGGTGTTGGTAACTGAAGGGAGTACCATAGTAATATCCCTAAGGATAGTGAACCTTTCTTTGTTGTCAAAGTTAGGATCACTAAAGGCGGTATTTGATGCTGTTCCAGCTGAATTTCTAGTTTGCATGACTGTTGCGTAGGTAGGTAGTGCACCATTTGGTTGCTTGTCATAAATGACTAATAAGCGACCATAGGTTTGCAATGCAGTGGCTAAGTTTAT